CTTAAACCTAGATCTACTACAACCCAAGAACCCAACCAGGATTATTTAACCCAAAAATTACAAGGTTATAATAAACTGATTGCACAACCAAAAACTAACGCCAACTTAGTAAGGACATGTTACAACTATAGACTATTAAATACATTATATACATATGACGGAGAGGAATTAAGTGGAATACCGGAACTACATTAAACATTTGTTACATATAAGAGAGTTACTAAGGGAAATTTATTCTATGTAAAATTTTATACGGCAACAACAGAGATATTATACGAAGAAATAAAACCTCCGATACAAGTGGTAAAGATAGGACTAACAAAAGATATGATAATACCGGAAGATATCGAACAACAACCAGAAATACAAAAAAGTGAGATACCAAGTTTGTATGCCAATAAGAGAATAATTGTTATATCAACCATTATACAAGAACTAGCAAATAATTATTTAAACGGAAACGCTATATGGAGCTACTATGCAAGAGATCAGTTAATAATTTATTCCAATTCAAGGGAGCTAAGGAAAGCAGATATGGATGAAGTCCAAAGATGGATTTTATCATTCTTAAAACTAGAGGAATGACCTACGACAAGAGCACTAAAAGCAGGATTTATTTCAACAGAGTTACTAACCAGATATTGCAAACTAATTGGACACAAATACCCTGATCACATATGTTCAAAATGTAACGGTGAAGATAACATAATTCCAGATGTCAATTTAGAGTAAAAGAAGACGATGAAGATAAGGTGCAGACAAGATAAGATAAGATATGAACAAGACAAAAAAGATAAGATAAAGATGCAAATGGCGGACAAAGTGGACAAAAAAGATAAAGGTAAAGTTTAAAGTTTTTTTTTTGACTAATTGTGTAAAGTAACGTGACAATGTAAATTATTAGTCAACATTATTATTGTAAGAAAGACAAGGTAGTGTAAAATAGTCAATAAGTGTAAAATTATGCATGTGCATATTAAGGACAAGTGTAAAAGTTAGGAGACAAGGTTGTAAATAAGTCTTAATAGGATAGTAGTAGATTAGAATAGGAAACTATTCATGAATAGTAGTAAATAGTAGTGGACAAATGTAAAAAACGTATTAGGATATGTATTTAGAATAGTAAATTTGTATGTCTATATATAGACTCAGTCATAAACATTGTAAAGGCAGGCAATGCCTAATATATAAAAACCTCTTTCAAAAACTCTCTCAACTAAAAAATTAGTATTTAGATAAATGGAGCAACAATCTGAAATCCAATCAGATATTTCAGATAGCATGAATAAGCAAGAGACAAAGGTATATTGTTCAAAAAATATGCAGAACTAATTTCATATATTCCTGAATATCATATATATGATTGAATAAATTTATGTTAGTTATTATGTATTAGAATTATTTGAATCATGATTTCTAGTTTATTAGCACACTGGAAACAGGGAGAAAACTTCTATACTATGCCATCCTAATGTTGAAA